GCAAGGCACCAATCCTCTATACGTTAACGATTCTGACAATAAAACTATTCCTCCGAAAAGCACAAACCCCCAAGTTAACGATTCTGGCATTACCGCAAATCCTCCGAAAGGTATCACACCTTCCATATTAACTATCCATGTGCCAACACCAGCCTCCCAAAGTTTTTTACGCCGTAAGGTACTCCTTACTACGCCCATGCCTCCTCGTAAAAGGCTGTGCACTATCGCACAACCACAACCAAGCAATTGGAGAAACCTCCTGGAGCCATCCTTAGCCTGCTTAAACTATGTCTTTCTCCTAGACCTCCAGAGCCACATGTATCTCAAATTTACTACCGGTCGAAACACCAATATCGCGGCCACTGAGCGACGCTGTTTCGACCGATTATGGTACCTCTATGCCTCCTCTGCAGCGAAAGTACCCATCCTACACGGTACTGTCAATCGTCACGTACTTCTTCAAAGATACAGGCTCTGTCCTTGCTGCCTCGGGAACCATAGCTTGAACAAATGCACAGAAAACCCAACCTGCTTCCGGTGCAATGCCGCCGGCCACGCTACCGCCATTTGTCAAGAAGCACCTGTCACATTTTTCTAGTCCCGGGGACCGGGACTTTCCGAAAGAAAATCATGTAGGAAAAGCGCGAATATCTGCGCTATTGGTCCATCTCCCTCGCCCGCCTCAGGGCGCCTCAGAGCTATATAAAGCAATATGTCCCCCCCAAAAAGAGGTCCGGACTTGAGGCAGCTTCGCAGCTGCCTCTTCAACAAGATCGTCTCCGAATCCCCGCCCCTCCCCCCTCATTTTAATCACCCGCCCTCTACTTTTATTTGATCTCTAGTCATATGTTTATTCCATATTATTCTTCTCCGTATATTTGCTCCGTATTTATTCGCGTCCATTATACTGCTATGCTTATGTAGTTGAGCCGGAGCATTAGCTTCTGCTCGGCTACTCTCTGCCTTAAACTTATCTATCCGCTACCTCGTTTCTCATTTAATTATTCTTAGACTTTTATTCCGCCCTGTTTTGCTGTCTGCTGCTACACCTTTATATCCTTTATATGCTTTGTTTCTTAGTAAAAAACCTAGTTGAGTTTTATATATGTCGGTCGGAAAACAGGAAGTAAACGTTATTGGGAAAAGTCCAGCTAGATCCTTGTCCACTCTTAGCCTAACGATAACGACCAGACATAAATTCGTTACACTGGGAGTTGGCACAGGGGTAAGTGGGCATGCTGGTTTCGAAAACAACATAGGGAACGGGAAATGAAGTGTGGAAGTGGGCACAGGGAAAGGCTTTACAGGGATAGGGATGGGAACTTTATTACAGTGTTTTGACGCCGAGCGGAGGCGGGTATGCAAGCTAGTTTTTGCTAAAAAAACATGTTTAGCAAAGTAATAGATCTCCCAGGGAGTACACAATACTGTGAAATTCTCAACTTATATGGCAATGTCCTGCCATCTTTTGGCAGCGGTGTACGCGATCTTCCTCAGATCTATCCTCTCCCTAGCGGGTGTAGGAAGAGCGCATATCTGCACGATTGGTCCATCTTCCCTCGCCCCGCCAGGGCTATGTAAAGCAATACGCCCCCTCCAGCACATGGAAGTTCGACCTGAGGTACTCAGACACTCGCGGTTGACGACCGCCGGTGAAAGGGAGTTCGACTCATTGACAACCTGCGGTACACATCCTTTTGTTTCGGGATAATCCGGCTATTGGTTCGGGACAAGACTGCCGGGGAAACGCCGGTCGAACAGGTTTCACCTGCGTTTGGTTCGGGATTCACCTGCAGCACATGTTCGGGTCGAACGCAGGTGAAACGGCGGTGAAATGCAGGAGTCCCGAATCGACCATGGGGCGTGGAATTAGCCGTAGAGCGCACTTGATAGTTCAAATTTCCGGCATACATTGTATACTATGTAAACAACAGATACTGAATAGACAGAGATTTATTCATCTCAGGTTAACTGAACGACAAAACCATAACAAATGATAAGAAAACTCGTAACAACAGAATCGCAGCAGCAAAATTATACATTCCTGAGCAAAAAGAGAAAAATCTAGTGTCAAGAACAGAATCGCAACAAGAAAATCGTACATAACATAAGGAATGCATTGAATTTCCATTCAATGAGTGAACACAACAGCGAGAATAAGCGATTGCTATGGACTGAACATCATGATATAAGTAGATAAAAGCAAGTTTTGTTACATTGTTTGTGACATGGATGATTGTGAGGCAACTTCATACTCTCAACAACAAAATCACAACAAGAAAATTACACATTCCTGAGCACAAGGTAGCATTCGATAAAGTAAAAAAAAAGACTAAAAGAAATGGCTAGAGTTTAGTGAAGAGATCTCTCTGTTATTCAAAGGTAAAAAAGGTATATACTTCACTTGAAAAGGGAAAAAATTTAAGCACCAGCACTTTCAACCATACTGGAAACAGTTGAGACAGCTGCGATGGCATTACCCAGAGAGGAAAGAATAGCGATAGCCGATAGGGATAACGCATAACGATAGATTTAGCGATAGCAACAGCGCTAGCGCATCAAACCAATTTCTTCTTTGAAACACATTCTTCCCCAAATCAGCTCAATATCTAAACTTGCACTGAATATGATATCTTCTGCAATTTCCATGGTGAAATTTACCTTCTGTAAATTCTGCAGGCGATAAAAGCAATTCACCGCCAAATAATCCGAGTGCTACAAGCACGAAACCTGAGATTTGAATTCAACTCCTTTAACTGGTCTTAAGAAAACTTGCCTATGAAATAGGTGACTAGTGACTCAGGAAGGTCCTTCAGCCTTTTATCCTCTTCGTTTTTACCAGATTTTCTCGAATGGCGCGGCTGGGATCGCATGCCTAATCACATGTACCTGTCGGACAAGGCTGTACAGGGTAGTGCCTACGTTTTAAAAAGTGGGGAAGAAATCCAATACATGGATATAGTAGTCGTGCTTAACCGAAGTCATGTTTGTCTCCTGAGATAAGCTGATCCTGGCCCAATGTCACGCTTGCTACGCTGCATTACCTTGAAGGGAGGCTGTCCTTTGCTGTTCCAAATTCGCGAAACTAAAACTTAAACTCTAAAGAAAATTTCGCGAAAAAATAATACTTCTGTGCTTATTGTAAGCAAAATCTTTATTTCATGGCGTTCGAAATGCTCATTACTCTCAAGACGTTTCCGTTTATCAAAATCATAGGTTTCGGCAAGAATGCGAGAGTCACCCCATTTCTATATTACACCAGAAAAAGATTTCTTCGCTGGGTTTAGGCAAGAATGCGAGAGTCACCCCATTTCTATATTACACCAGAAAAAGATTTCTTCGCTGGGAAAAAACTCTTACATTATGCAACTGGCCGTGTATCTCAGTGACTCGATCTATGGTATTCGACAATAGTAATCTAGCTGCGGTAGTAGCCTTACAAGATGAAGCGAAGCTCTTTTGGCGAAATTATTCCTTTTCCATGCAACTCTGCAGCACAAATGAAGAAGACATTCATGCAAACAGTTGGTACGCACCCCCTGAGCGGACAGCCAGACTGATCGCATATGGCCAATCTGTGACCAAAAGGTGTGCAGCAATGATTGCAGAAAAAGCAGTGCTTGTACTCACACGGTTCCATGAGTTTCGTCTTGAGGCCCCCGCATCATACGTAAATGTGGACTAACAGTGCAGCGGGACTGTAATCATCATTCCCAAAGTGAGTCTGATACGCCCACAAGTTTGCCTTGATTCCACATGATGAGCAGGTCATCTAGTATGACTCCATCACATCAGTCACACCAAAATGCGGAAAAAATTTAGCCATATAGGAGCCTCCTTCTTGTTATCATCACATGAATACGTTACTCCTTGAGATAGAAGAGGCCTGGAATCCAGGCTACGTACATCATCTGCATGGCTTTGCAGATCGTGCACAAGCGTATTGTGCCCCTAGCATGAGGTGTACTCGGTTCCTCAGTATCTGCTCTGGCTGCACCATTGCCATCTTCAAGCCGATATGGTTTCGCAGGAGGACAATTAAACCCATCTAATTGCTCATCATACTAATTTTGATCATGCGCCTAAGTACTCTCCTGCTTCCCGCCTACTGTGGGTGTAACGCCTCATCGCTAGCTGTAACTGACTCAGGCGCAGGTAGGACACTGGTACTGCCATCAGATACGCCACTGAGTGGTCCTGCCTCACTCTCGGAAAGCAAAGCGCCGCGAATACCCGACGCACACGGATTATTTGGCGGTGAATTGCTTTTATCACTTGCAGAATTCACAGAAGGTAAATTTTACCACGGAAATGACAGAAGATATCATATTCACTGCAAATTTAGATATTGAGCTGATTTGGGGAAGAACGTGTTTCAAAGAAGAAAATAGTTTAATGCGCTATCAAAACCGCGAGCAGACTACCCAATACATGCGCAATACCCCTTTGCAAATCTTCGTAGAGGCCGCAATCCTTTTGCGAGCTTTTGTATTGCTATCGAAGAGAGTCGGCATGTCGCTACCAAAATACTAAAGGCCATCAAAATCCATGTCAAAAAGAGTGATTCTGATTCAGCAGATGGAAGAGAAACCAAGTTTCAGAAGTACAACAGTTAAGAAAGAAGTACAACAAAGAAGATGACGTGATTCAAAAATCAGTAAGCCATAAGCAAGGCTGGCTGTATTACCATCATAAGCTGCCACAAATATATCGCTGCCTTATTCCAGCTCTGATGCAAAGAGAATTGCTAGGAGTAGCTTGCAACCCTTTCAATACTCACAGCTTAGTTATTCTTGTGTTTTGTCCAGTTTGAACAGCGTAATGCAACGGAGTATAACCATCTTTATCGGTTGCATTCACATCTTTTCGCCAACCTCCAGTATTGTCCCTAAGCAAGATATACTCATTTACAGTCATAAAAATAGCTCGAGTAAAGAACAGGAAAACTCACTGAGAAGCTTAGTCTGGAAAGCCATAGCTGCGTAGTGTCTTACAATTCTCCCACATGAGTCCCATACTTTGAGATTTGCTCAAAGTATCTCTCAGGTCTCTACAGCCCGATTGAAATGCAGCAGAAGGGGGAACCAGCTGAAAACAGATAGGTGTCAACCAGAGAAGTAATCACAGAAATTATCTATGATAAGGGAGTATGGCGAGACAAGTTAAAAAAAGAACAGTGCAGAAAGGTTTGCAAAATACCAGTGATAACTGATAGTGATAACTACCTAAATGTAGTGCAATGGTTCTCCTCTTTTCAGGCTTCAATCGAATACCTTGTTTTTGTAGGCAAACAGTAACGAATCCTTCCCAATCTGCGACATTCCCACTACATCAAGTTTCGCGTTGTTGAACATAGAAACGTCAAGAGTTTCCGTCGGATTCAATATCTCAAAACAGCTATCGAATGCGAAGCGATCCAAATGAACGATCTTCAAACAGCACAATATGACCAGACTTACCTTTCTGTCTTCAAACTTCACCCAGCTGAATTCGTACTTGTCGTTACTCTCAGTAGCCTGTACACCAACACAAAGCTGAGGAAAATCGGTGCGTGCGTTGATCAACTGAAATAGTTGCTAATTACTGACTGTTTGTGCCATACATACACTAACCTCAAAAGGACTTAGCGGAAATCGTAAGGAACTGTCAAGTTCAGATGACCTCACGAGCAAGAATTTGTTCAGAGGTTCATACCTAAAAAGAAAGTTTCCAAATATTGAATCGAAGGCGAGAAAAACTGAGTGGGAGATGAAAGAAAGGAGATGAAGCCGGAAAAAATAAGCAATTTTGCCATACCGAGTTGAGGTTTAGTTATTGCTTCGTTAATAAACATGTAAATATACTGTCACATGAATTTCTATATGAAGCAGATTATGATCTGATGATCTTAAACGTAAGAAGAAAAAAATCCCTAATCAAAAGAGCGCTAAACCATCCAGCAACAAAAACTTCACGAAAATGATAAGAATTTTGCGCTAACTAAAAAGGAAACCAGCAACGTGCATATATGAAGGGAGATGCAGTTCTGAATCACTTAACTCTTTGATCCAACTTGTGCAGATTTAGAAGTTAGATAAAGAACGCACCACTGAAACAACAAAACTGAAGAAGGAGTGCAACAACAGAGAAATACAGATCCTGCCTGTGGGCCTGTGCCCCGTGAAGTCGTCAAACTTCAGAAGCAGAAGGTTGCAGTCCGAAATCCGATAATCTGAACTTGAAATCAAAGAAGACGCCGATGAACGCTGGGAATATACGAAGCTTTAGGAAACAGGCGGAACACTTGAACGTGTGCTTGAAGCCGGCTATCCTCGCTGCATGCAGGCGATCGATTGTATTGATACGCGTCGGGACAATCCCGACGCAATTGCCGGTGAATCGGGACAACCGCAGGACACAACTTTGTCCCGAAACAAAGCGAAAGTGGGCGGATCTCCGGCGGTCGTCAACCGCGAATGTCTGAGTAGCTTCCGAGCTGCCTCTTACATGACATCGTCTCCGAATCTCTCTTCCCCCCCCCCCGTTATCGTATAGTGGCCTTTCTAGGTCAGTATGCGATAATTTTGGCGGGGCCATGAAAATATGGCCCCGTTCCATGTCCATGTATAGAAGCCGGGGGAGGGGCAGTGCGAAGGTAGGCTTTCCCAACTTTTACCACTTGTGTATTTTTGTGTTTGTGAAATGAATCCCTTTTGCCCACTTAGTTGTTGGAATACTTTTGGTGCAGTGGCCGGGAAGAGCCTTCGCCAATCAAAAGTCTAGGGCGTAAACCTAGCATAAAGACCAAGACACCCTTGGCAAAAAAGTCTAGGCTACCAAGCCTAGCGAAAAGACCAGGCTCAAATCCCTGGCACAAAGTCTAGGCTATACCTAGCAGTAAAACCAGGAAAACCCCTGGCACTAAACAGGGCATAAACCTAGTAGCACGGGCACAAACTTAGTGCCAACAACATTCAGGTATCATCATCTTGGACATATTGCCCGGCGACAGTAGCTGCAAATAACGTTCTATCCGTTTTGTCCTACGTGGATTTCCAACGCTGTGCTGTGCTTGATGGCAGCACAATAGGTTATATGACTTAGGGACACATCCCACATTCGCGCATAAAGCGAACACATATTGAACGTCAGATTTTATTGCTGACGAAGAAGCCTCAACAATACAAAATGTCTCTTCACCTTTATGAAGGGGAGATTTTGCGCTGTCAACATTACTGGCGAGTATACTGAGCAAGTTTGGTCGCTTGAATGTTCCATCCTGATATAAATCGCTGTATGGAGCAATCGCAAGAATGTTTCGGCAGATTGGATGTACTCAATACATGCCTTCCGCAGGTGAAAGTTGGGGCAAAAATGTTGCAATCAAAGATAGATAAACTATCAGACTTCTACATGGCACGCTGCTATGAACAGAAACAGTTGTTAGCGCGTGGGGTAGAAGCACTTGAAGAAGAGAGTGGATCTTAACATGTACTTTCCAAAGCAAAAATATTTATATTGCGGAGCTACAGATGAAGTATGCTCGAACATACGCAAAAATGTACACGAGTTTATCGCCTCAGACGAAGCAAGGCGAAAGTGTCTTTACTGTCATTAATACAGTAACCAACGAGGAGCCGGAGCGCGAAATACCTTCGGATCTTGGTGCAAAAGAAAATGATGAGGCAAAAACCATTGCGCCTTTGCACAACAATATTAAACAGTGCAATACTTATTCTACAAAGACTTGTACGCAAGAGACCTGTGCAGATGTAAAAGTTCAGGAAAATTCAATCAAAGGTGCCGAAATGAAGAAATGCCGGTGCAACTCGAGGCTGCCTGCAGCAGACAGTACCTTCCATCAGACAAATACAAGGGAAGCGGAAACACGCAAAAACTGCAACACTATAGCGGACATACTACACTTACTAGATGAAGATGCCAAGACGCCGCCATCCAGCACGATCCGCCAAACAGTCAAGCCACCTATTACTGCCACCATGCAACGCCATACCTCCTACCGCCAATTCACGGTACCGACACATATTCCACTTTATTTCGATTCGAGCTCAACTCAATCGACTCTACTGCTGCTACTGTTACTATTCTGTGTTCTACCACATCATCGAGCCATCCACGCCAGCTGTCCATTCGATCAGCCATCCACTCCATGCATTCGAGCAGCCATCCACTCCATATCTTCAAGTAGCCATCACCGACCCACTCATCGCCGCCACGCCAAGTAGATAAAAACAATTTTTTGTGTTTCCCCTTTTTTGCCCCCGGCACTGTTATCGTATAGTGGCCTTTCTAGGTCATTATGCGATAACCTTGGCAGGGTCATAAAGATATGGCCCCGTTCCATGTATAAAAGCCGGGAGGGGGGGGGGGGATAGACCGAAGGTTGGCTCTCCCAACGTTTCACCATTTGTGTATTTTTGTCATTGTGAAATAAATCCCTTTTGCCCACACAGTTGTTGGAACATTCTCCCCCCCCCCTTAACTTAATCCTCCCCCTCCTTTTATTTGAGTTGATTCAATCTATTCTTATATCACTCCAATCCTTTGTTACTGTCAGCGTATATTTATTTCTTACTGTTCGCTTTCATACGTACTGCCATATTTATGTAAGGTTGAGCCGGAGCACTAGCTCCTAGCTACCTCTCTCTTGAGCATACCATTTAATTCAAGTGGCTTGGCTTCGGGAAGGCGGGGCTTCGTGACCTAATTAAGGCTAGGTAAGGATCAGAGCGCACTCGCGCGAGAAAGACACAGGTACGTCGCGGGCGCGAGCGCCTCAATTAGGTCACAAAGCCCCGCCTTCCTGAAGCCAAGCCATTTGAACCAAAGGTTATCTATCCTCTACTTATCTATCCTTTCATTCTTTATCTAACCATTCCTATGCTTTCATTCCGCTCTATTATTTGGTGTCTGCCGCTATACCTTCATATTCTATGCTTTGTTTATAATTGCCTGATAAATGCTTAGTAAGAAATCTAATTGAGTGTCATATATGTCGGTTGGGAAAACATGAAGCAGGCGTTACTGGAAAAGTCCACTCGGTACCACTCATAGCTTAACGACAACACCAAAGCACAAATTCGTTAAACGGGGAGTAGGAAACTCATAATCGTGACGACGGACTCGACTGCGATCTTTTCCTCCCAAGCGTTACAAGGGTATATAGCACTGAACATAGTACATTGGTTGTCAATAAGTATTGGTCTTTTCTACCGTATGCACCCCGTTCTCAACATGACGTGGACTGGTGCGGCGCCGCCTTGCATCGGACCTGCGCCACGTGCGGACCCATCTTTTGGCGTGGCATAGCGAGAAAAGCAACGTGGCATTCTTTCTTGCATTGTTTCTGTGGCCACCCCTTAGCCACGCCACGCCAAACGAGCATACGCAACGTGGCGCAGTCCCAAAGCGATGCGACGCCTCACCAATCCACGTCACGTTGAGGCTGGAATGCATAAGGTAGGAAAAACCAATACACATTGACAACGACTGTATAGCACTCAGCTCAAGACTTCCAAGGTCTAGGCTAACATGTACCCGCGATATTAGCCCATATGTCTTCTCTCAGCATGACGTGGATTACGTGGATTAGTGAGGTGCCGCCTCGCTTCGGGCTTGCGCCACGTTGCGGGCGCATAATTTGGCGTGACGTAGCGCAAGCTTTCCTACGTTGGTCTTGTTGCCACACCACGCCAAAGAAGCGCGCGCAACAACGCAAGCCTAAAGCGAGATGTCGCCTCACCAATTCACGTAATCCATGTCATGTTGAAGGAAGACATATGGGTTGATAGGTTTGAGGGTTCGAGGGTACATGCAGAATGCTTTAAAGGCAGTGTCTAGGCTAAATTCAACCCCCTCCGATTAGGATCGATTCTGAATGTAGACCTCACGAGAGAGGCATCTGGTTCGGTCCTCCAAGGTTGTCTCTGAATGGAGATAAGGGGCCTGGAACAGCCAAAGTGCTATCAGGCCCCGCCGATATCCTATCAGATCCGCCCATCCATGTACTGAAGGCCGCCCGCGCCCTCAAGATAACGTCCTCAGAAACCGGTTTTTTAGGGGTTTTGGACTATTTGAACTTCATAACTGTAATCAGGGCCACGGAAAGGTTTCGGAATGGCAAAAACATGGAAACAAAATTTTGAGTGGACGCTGCCTTTCAGGGAACAAAGCAAAAGGAAATGCGATTGTAGAACTGCGTACGCGACGCGCGCGACCCGGCCATTGCCACGATTTTACAAGTGATCAAAGTCAAGCGTAGGGTGTGGCACGCCACACCTGGGCACACCTGGGGGGAGGGAGGGGGGGGGGCGTATCATGTGGGTCAGAAGAGGGAGGGAGTCGTTATCAAGGTGATACTGTTAGCGATAACATGGTATTCGCTAGAAGTGTCAGACAGGCTCGTTATCTAGCACTTTAATGTTTTGGCCCACCATGTTCGTAGAGTAAGCATGATAAAAGAGCCAAAAAGCATAAGAACATCGTTTTTATGATTAGCATGACAAATAACCCCTGTGAGCCAATAATCAGCGAATTCTGAGGTTTCCATTGGAACATCCAAGCGAGGTGGTCATATCCAAACATTAACTTTGTCTCAAAAGTGAGTTAATTACTTTTGCACGCAATACAAAGATATATCATCTATTCCCCACAGTATAGCTAGCGGAGCTTTGTGGACGTTTGCCAACGTATGCTCGTGGCAGTTTTTGATAGCTAGAGATTACAAAAACCAATGCTTTAGAGTGGAGGTTCAACAAGTTTTTTAACGTGTTGGAATGTCTGCAGGGCCACGCCCGCTATACGCATAGGAAACGCCTATACTTCTTTGCACATAGCAAGAATCTAAAGTAACCTCCAATCTATGGAATTAAGAACAAGCCAAAATCTCATCTCTACTATTTTTAACAATATCACAGACTGGAGAAGACCAATCAGGCTCAAATCACTTTTTTGAGAATTACGAGGTTTAAGCTATCAAATATACTATTCATTCTTGCCGTCTTTCCACGCGATTAACGCAGTAGCGCAGACTTAGCATGTTACCGCAGCCCAAACTTTTCGCAGCTTTTCCATTTGCATAGGTTAGGAAAAATGACTATATATCTCTTAGAAGAAACAATTTTAAAAGAAAATAAAACTGCCGTAGTATAGAGAAGAAGGTTTGGCAGTAGCCGACTAAGGAAAAGATTTGAATGCTTCGAAGGTAAGTCAGTGGGGTGTGGCACAGCTCCTGAGAAGGTGTGGCAGCACATCTTTTCTGGAGTTGTGCCACACCCCATCAACTTACCTCAAGGAGAAATTTAGCGAACAAAATATATACAGTTCGATGTTGATAGATCGAATATCGAACCGTATTATACGGTCCGATATCCAAGCTATATATAGCTATATATAGCCATATATAGCCAAAATATCCAAGCTTCTATAGAAGTGATTAGAGCTGAATTGTCAATAGTTGTTGGAAGGATAACCACTGTAAACGAAAAATGGGACAAATGAGATTTTGGCTGGCTCCTAATCTCATAGTTTGATGGTTCTTGAAGCAGGATTCATGGTGTGGAACAAGGAAGTAGTTGTAATGAGTGCAAAAGAGGTAGCCAATTCACTTTGGAAATATACTTGACCATGTTTAATGACTAGTTCAATTCGATGGCCCAATATTAAACTCTCAGTATTCGCTAAAACTTGGCCCAGAGGAGTCAATTGATATGATAATCACGAATATGTTACTAAATATGCTTGGTAGAGCCTTAAAGTCATGCCTATGGAAGGTGAAGGATAATGCGGAAAGAGGGAAGGTATTGAGATAGAACCTAGGGGGGGGGGGGGAGGGACGTATCAAGTGATTGTGTGGCCACACCTCTTGCTCGACCGTGCAAGTGATCTATATGTTCATACTGGACCAAATATAGAAGAGTGGAAAAGTGACTTTCACTATGCAGCCAAGTCTGATATCGTCGACTCTGAAAAATATAGCGGGCGGAGCTTTGCCAACGTTCGATAATAACGCGTGGCAGTTTCAGATAGCCAGAAGGTACGAAGAAGTAATGCTCTAGAATAAGGTGCAAATACTTCAAATTGTTCAAACGTTTGCAAATGCTCTGCCCGCTGTAATCCAGGAAGTTGCCTATAATTTACCAGCAAAAGTCGCTGTCGCGCTAGAGTCGCCGCCACCGCATACCGAGTGACCCCCACGATCACCAAATTTACCGGCAGCGTACGCTCCGGGCTCACTCTTGCTCGCCTCAATTTTGCTTATAGTGCTTATACGCGCTATGCTTGCCTCATAAACATACCCGATTTTAGGACGACAACACCGGGATACTCTGTCATCGTGTAGTGGCTTTTCTAGGTCACTATAAATAATTTTGACCGGACGGGGCCATAAAAATATGACCCCATTTTAGGTATAAGCCGGGGGCTAAGCGAGTGTGTCGCTTGTTAAATCTTGTAACAGATAAACGTTTCTACTATCTGTTCTTCTATTGTCATAGCATTTTTGACCATGCAGTGGTCCACGAAAAACACTTTGTAGAAAGACGCAACAAGAGATTTTAAAGGCATACCGCACTACCGTCAAGATAATACATCAGATTTGATATTCGATTCTATGGCACCCTCGATCGAAACTAACTGGTCTAAACTGGGAACGTAGCAGATCTTTAGCCATTAGTGAATACAGTACAATCACTGGAGAGCAGCATCAGCATAGGAGGATCAGTAATGATAAGCAATCTATATAGACCGGCCGCATTGATACTAGTCGTTTGAATGACCGCATTGATACTAGTCGTTCGAAAACCATAGATCTCAGCACTAGCAATCCCAAAAGTCGCATGGCAAGCACTGTGTCTCGCTGTTATCCTGCGGAGCAATCGATAGAGCTCGAGTCATCCGAAGACACACGAGAAGCAGTCAACACAGTTCGGGTCATCCGATAACATATGAGGAGCAGACAGGATCAGTTAACCACATCAGACACTAAAGGCAA